ATGAGCGAGAATGAGAGAATGAGAGATGAGAATGAGAGAGGAGAGAGCGAGAGGAGACGGAGAGAGGGGTGAGAGAGAGAGAGAGAGAGAGAGAAGAGACGAGAGAGAGAGAGAGACGAAGGAGTGAGGATGGACGAGAGAGAACGAGAGGAGAGGGAGAGGAGAGAGAGAGACAAGAGAGAGAGACTAGAGGAGAAGAGAGGAGAATGAATGGGAGAGAGAGAGAGAATGAGACAGGAGAGAGAGAGACTGAGAAGAGAGAGAGAGAAGGAAGAGAGAGGAGGCGATGAGAAGGAAAGACAGAACAGAGAGGGACAGAGACCCTGAGGAGAGAGAGAAAAGAGTGGAGAGAGAGAGAAGACAGAGACAGATGAGAGACAGAGACCTCTGAGAAAGAGGAGAGACAGAAGAGATATGGCGGTCAGGCCGATGGTGATAATTATCGTCAAAACTTTTTGTTCGTCTCGAAACCTGGTTGTCATTTGTGGCTTTCGTATGTGTGTTATTTTGACATTTCCTTTTTCGCGTGCGTCCTCCGAAGGCTTTTAAAATTGGCTTCAGTCTTCATTCGAATTTTTGCTTTTATTTTCAAATCGAGGTAACCCGCAAATATAACAGTGAGATCTCAACCGCATGGCAATTTATTAACGATATCATACCTCTGTTTCTAAATATCTGCTGCCAATTCTATACGTTTTGTAAAATTAATCTGCCTAATTGTCTGTCTCTAGTTTTTCTAAGTGAAGTACGTGTATGTCAATCTATTCCATACATAGACCTACATATACACATTCCAATTTTTAAGGAATAAGTATCTACAGAAAAGAGTGAGAGGGAGAGAGAGAGAGAGAGGAGAGAGAGAGAGAGAGAGAGAGACGAGAGAGGAGAGAGATGAGAGGGGAGAAGAGAGAGAGAGAGAGAGAGAGGAGAGAGAGAGAGAGAGAGAGAAGAGAGAAGAAAAAGAAAGAGAAGAAAGAGGAGAGAGAGAGAGAGAGAGAGAGAGAGAGAGAGAGAGAGAGAAGAGGAGAGGAGAAGAGAGATGAGAGAGAGGAGAGAGAGAGAAGAGAGGAGATGAGAGGAGGAAGAGGAGAGAGAGAGAGAGAAGAAGAGAGAAGAGAGAGAGAGAGAGAGAGAGAAGAGAGAGAGAGAGAGAGAGAGAAAGAGAAAGAGAAGAGAGAGAAAGAGAGAGAGAAAAGAGAGAGAGAGAGAGAGAGAGAGAGAGAGAGAGAGAGAGAGAGAGAGAGAGAGAGAGAGAGAGAGAGAGAAGAGCGAGAGAGAGAGAAAGAAAGAGAGAAAAAAAAGAAAGAAAGAAAGAGAGATTTATAAGAAATTATCTGAGTCGCCAACAGCTGAGCTCCTAAGCAACGGGCCTTAAAAAGCCAAGATCATTAATTATCTAAAATTGATCTGAATAAGACTTAGAGTATCTTTAATCTTGGAGCCCCCTCCCCCCCCTCCCCCAAATGACCGCTGGAGTGCGTGACTCTCTAAATACTAGTCTGTTTTTATCTTTCTTTTTCTTTCTTTAGTTCTTTATTTATTTATCTATTTCCTTCCTTCTTTTCTTTCTTTCTTCCTTCCTTCCTAACTTTTCTCTTTCCTTCCATTCTTTCTTTATTATTTATTTCCTTTCCTCCTTCCCTTCTTCCTTCCTTCCTTCCTTTCTTTCTTTCTTCCTTCCTGTAGCATTTATTTCTTTCCTTTCCTCCTTCCTTCCTTCCTTCCTTTCTTCCTTCCTCCCTTCCTTCCTTCCTTTCTTTCCTTCTTCCTTCCTTCCATTCTTTCTTTGTGTACACTGTATGCAGGAAAAGTTATTTCTATAAAATAAGTGACAAATAAAAATCAAAAGAATAAAGAAGTGAATATACAAAAACATAAAGAAACATAGATAGAAATAGAAATACATAGATAAAGGAATAAATAGGCCTACATAAATCAATTAATTCATTATTTAAGAATATGTGTAGATCTAAAAAAAATAAAAATATACAAATAGATCAATAAAAATAAACGAAAAAATAAATGAAGGAGTTTATTAATAAGAATATACACACATGAATGAATAAAAATCAATAGATAAACAAATAAAACAATAGTTCTGTGCCCAAGAATTTCATCCAATCAGCAACGGGGATACGAGATCAACCAATCAGCGACGAGGAAGACGTGATCAACCAATCAGCGACGAGGAAGACGTGATCAACCAATCAGCACGACGAATCAGCCAATCAGCGACGAGGAAGACGAGATCAACTGAAATCACCGAGGTTATACAAGGGAAGGCAATTAATGTGAGCAATAGCGGCTTCATTAAATGCTCGTTACGGAGAGTAATTAGCACGGGTAGGATGCGTAGAGTTACATGAGTACTGATCTTCATTTCTTTTTCTGATTTTTGAGGGGGTGCATGGCTACTCTTTTTTTTTTTACGAGAATGTATATTTTTTTTTTTAAAAAATATATATCATTGACTTATTCCTTTATCTTATTTTATATATCATTCACGAAAAAAAGAAAAAAGAAAATCACTAGAATAAACTTTACTTCCAATATACTGTTATAATCAACCGAAGAAAAACAACAATATTATAAGACCAACAACATTTAGCTGTGGACCAACAGCAACATCCATAACCCTCGCGTTGTTATTTCTAGAACCCAGCGCTTCAATCTGGTAGGTCGGCGTCGTTAGTAGTCCAGGCAGATGTTCCCGACCTTGCTACTGTTAAGGGGTATTTCGTCATCGCCTCAGAAGACTTTAAATCCTTGAACATCTTTTTTTATTATTTTCATATCTATTGATATCATTTTCATTTCGTTATCATTATTATCACCGTTATTAATCAACATCGTGTCATTGTTATTGTCATTATCATCACCGTTAATAATTAACATCGTTGATTATTATTATCATTATCGTCACAGTTATTAATTAACGTCGTGGCATCATAACCATTATTTTTACCATTATTTATTAGCATTGTGTCATTGTTGTTATCCTTATTCCCATTATTTATTTATCATCATTATCCCCGTTATTAATTAAAATCGTGTCCTTATTATCATTATCATTAGCGTTGTTATTATCATCGTGTTTATCATCATCATGTTTATCATCATCATCTTATCTCATCATCGCCTAACTCGGCATCATCGTTGCTCTTCTTTACCATGTGCATCGCGTGGACCTTCGCCAAGCCAGACCCGGAAGCGCGTAGATGTTACTGGAAATCATTCGAGATCCTGTCCGCTGGCTTCGACCAAGTGAAGCGTGTACCCGATAATGTTGATAAACCACGTGAATTATTTTCATACAACCAACATTATCCTTCCTCTGTATCGGTTCCTACCACGAACCAAGGACTACACACGCCCATCTATCATAAAAAAAAGAACCGCAGATAAGCAATAAAGCAAAACTTAAATCTAGCGTATCCTCACCGTCTCCAATGCCGCTCGCCCCAAAACCACAGCTAGCATTAAAGCGCCTAATCGCTGCAAACGAGCGATCATAAGGAACAGCGTCTCCCTTGCGCGATATTAAAAGCCTTCTTACCTTCAATTCGAACTTTCACTGCCTCCTCTTCCTCTTAATGTAGTCTTCTATAGGCCTACGTGTTCGCTGGAGGCTGTAGGTAGACGCTGGCCTTGTGAGTAGCTCGCTGGTCGTGTCTAACATTCATTGACATGCGGGGTGCGGGTACGTGGGTGCTTGTTAGCGGAAAATGCTTGGTTTATTATTTGCATGACAGAGGGAATTGGAAATGGAAAGAGAGAGAGGGAGAGGAGGGAGGGAGGAAGAAAGGAGGGAAGGAGGATGGAGAGAAGGAGAGAAGGAGAGAGAGAGAGAGATGAGAGAGAGAGAGAGAGACGAGAGAGAGACGAGAGAGAGAGAGAGAGAGAGAGAGAGAGAGAGAGAGAGAGAGAGAGAGAGAGAGAGAGAGAGAGAGAGAGAGAGAGAGAGAGAGAGAGAGAGAGAGAGAGAGAGAGAGAGAGAGAGAGAGAGAGAAGAAGAGAGAGAATGGAACGAGAGAGAGAGACAGAGACAGAGATAGTCAAGGCGACAAAAACAGAGAGACAGACAAACAAAGAGACAGAGACAACCAGACAAACGGAAAAAAATATATACAAACGTAGAGAAAGAGAAACAGAGATTAGACAGAGAAACTAACTTACTTATGCAAGAATCTAGAGTCATTAGTTGAAAAAATATCCCATAGATTACCATAGATTTACCAACAGAGAGTTCCCCATTAGATGTTTCTAATGGCTTAGCCAGGGGGATATTACTTAAGAAGGGGGAATGGGAGAGAAGAAAATAGACGATAAATGAGTGAATGGAGGAGAGACGGAGAAAGAATGAGATAAAAGGGTGGATGGACGAGGAAGGGAGAGAAAGGAATTAAGAGAAAATGGGAAAGGAAGAAAAGAGAAAAAAGGGTAGGGAGATAATGCTAATGGGGAAACGAAACAAAGAAAATGGAGAAGTGAAGAAACGGGGAATAAGGGAAGAAGGTGATAAGCAAAAGAAACTGATGGCTGAAGAAGTCCAGGCGAAAGAATAGTGAATAACGATAAAAGAAAAAAAAAAGAGATGGAGAAAAATGAAACCGAATAGAAGAGGGGAAGAACAAGCAGATAAAACAGAAAAAAAGATGGAATGGAATTAATAGATGGAGAAACAGGGAGAAGAAAGGGGTGATGAACAACAACAACAACAACAAAAAAAACGCGGGAAAAGTCGTGCACAGCCCGCCATTCGAAGGTCACGTGACTATACTGTACCGGAAGAGGAGAAGAAAAGAGACGATAAAAAGGAACCGGAAAGAGACGAAAATGGAATAAGACAAGAACCAGAAATAAAAGAGAAGCGAAGGAAGGAAGCAGAAGAAAGTTGAAGTAATAAAAATATACATATCAAAATGACAAGACAGAGTAAAGTCATGCGTGTCAGTGGAAAGGCAAACAAATAAATACTAGTGTTAAAACAAAGAAAAAACAAGATAAAAAAACATAAATAATCGACTTACAAATCCAAGATTTAAACAAGTAACGATTATCTTCAATCTACAGCGTCCTTCGTGCACCGCAAGACAGACAGACTGACTGACAGACAGACAACCACACGCACACAGATATAAACTTTCTATGATCATAGACACGCTATTCGCTAGTTAAGAAACAGATGAACCCTCATGCTCAATATAATTCGATAATACGCTTATGTGTGGGTACGCGCGAGTGTGTGTGTGTGTGTGTGTGTGTGCGTGTGTGTGTGTGTGTGTTTGTTTGTGTGTCTGTGTATGAGTGTGTGTACGCATATGAGTTTGTTTGTACGTTTGTGTGTACGCATCAGTGTTTATGTGTTTGTTTGTATGTGTGTATCCAAGTGTACACATCTACGCATGGCCAACCTAATACATGTACGTAAGCATACATGTGCACATGTTAGCAAATGCATTCATGTGTGTGTGCATGTGTGTGTGTGTGTGTGTGTGTGTGTGTACGCGTGCCCCGTACGTACACAGCTCATCTTAGGCTTTGCGTTATACTCTCGATGTAAAATTTGCGTGATGTACGCCTGCTGAAGGGAGGGGGGAGGGGGGAGGGGGGGGAAGCCACAAGCGCAGAATAGGAGGGTCGAGTTGCAAGTTGCCAGAGGTTGCAATTTGCGGATTCGTGACGTGTTATGAATCTATATTTTCATGCTTTTGTCTTTTGTCTTTGATTTGCTGTTGGTGTCTCTTTGTTTTATGTCATCTTTGTTTTGTTTCTTATTTTGCTGTTGTTGCCTGTTTTTTGCTTTGTGTTTGTTTTTGTTTTCTTTTTTTGTTTCCTTTGTTGCCTTTTTGTTCTCTTTGTTTTGCTTTTGTCTTTGTTTTGTTCTGTTTGCTTTTGTTTCGATTTTCTTTGTTGTTTGCTAAGATGTGCTTATTGCTAGTGTTATGATTGTGTTATTATTTCTCACTATCGTTATTATCTTCATTTTTTTGTTCTTATTTATTTTGTTGTCATTATCATTACCATGATTATCATTGCATTCCCATTACCATCATTACAATTACTTATCATTATCATCACTCTCTAAATCATAATCTCTATTCTTATAGCTGTCATTATCATTATCAGTATCGTCATTATTATCGTGCGTATCATCTAAATCATCACTATTATCAATATTTGTATTACTATTATTATCACATATTATGATCATCCTTAACTTTATCAAATTTTCAATCTCTATTACATGTGTTAGTGTTATTACTTCCGAAATTAAAAAGATTTGTTTTTTTTCTGTTACCACATATTTGTCACACCATTTTTTCTATTTTTTGACATTATTTTTTATTATTATTATTATTATGAATTACTATTACCATCAAAGCTTATATTGGAATCATACTTTTCGTAATGATCCTAAAAATCAATATTTTCATCCATATAATCCGTAATCATCATCATTTTAATAATAATGATAATTAAATTTTTGTTTTTCCTTTCAGAATCTGCTTTGATGTCAAACGAAGCAACAAAACAAGGATCTTAGCTATAAAAGAAAAAAGAGACAAAGACAACTAGAAATAACTTCACAAAAAAGTAAGATTTTTGTTGTTTTTTAATGACTTTGTGTCGGAGGCGAAGATAATTTGGTCGCTTCCGGAATATAATATAGACATTTTTTCGTTGTTTACAAGTTGCGGATTTGTATTTGTTTATTTCTGTTTTTCCCTTTTTTCTTCTATGTGTTTTCCGTCTTGTCCATCTGCTTCTTCCTTTTGTTCATTATTTCCCTCTTTTTTTTGCTTGTTCTCGTTCTCGTTTTCGTCCTTCTCCTTTTCCTCCTCCTCTTTCTCCTCTTCCTTCCATTTTTTCTACTACTACTACTTCTACTTCTTCTTTATCTACTACTACTACATCTACTAGTTTTTCTTCTTCATATTCTTTTCCCTCCTCCTCCTGTTCTTCTATTTTTTCTTCCTCTTTTTTTTTCTTTACTTCGCCCGGTTCTCCCTCGAGTGCTAATGGTTTCTGCTCTTTGGAATTCACTCCAGGTAAGAACATTCCTTTTCTTAGCCATTCGTTCTCTTGAACAAACACGGCTTGGGGGCGGCGTGAACGATCATTTATCGTCTCTCTCTGCGTACGTGTCTGGTTGTCTGTCTGTTGGTCTGTCCACTTCTCTCTTTGCCTGTCTCTTTCTCTGTTTGTTTTTCTGTCTGTTTCTCTGTCTGATATTCTCATTCTCTCTTTGCCTTTGTCTTTCCCTCTCTCTTTCGCTTTCATTCTCTATTTCTCTCTCTGCTTCTCCCTCTTCCTACCTCATTCCCTCCCTCCCTGCGCATATGAACAGTGTAGGCATGTATGTATACTTATGCGCACATGTATATCACGCCATAGCACCTGGTAATCACGGTTAAGTTAATTCTGCTCCGCCAACCTTTCTGGTCGAGGGAGCAAGGCCGTGGGAAGGGCGAAGAGGTCACGAAAGGTCACCGGGATAGATGGCGGGATAAAGAATCATACCCGTAAGGAACTTATCGACGGAAGATGAATCGACAGGGATGTGAAGGAAGGGATGAGGAAGAAGGGTAGAGAGAAAGAGGGAGAAGGAGAGGGATGGAGAGGGTGAAAAAAGGAGGATGGAGAGTGGGAAAGTGAGAGGGAGAGGTAGGGGAGGAGAGTGTGAGAGGAGAGGTAAGGGAGGGAGAGAGAAGGTAGGGGAGGGAGGGAAAGTGGGAGAGGGAGAGGGTGAGGAAGGAGGATGAAAATTGGGAGAGGGAGGGAAGAGGATGAGGTAGAGGGGGAGGAGAGAGAGGGAGAGGAGAGAGAGGGAGAAAAGGAGAGGGAGAAGGAGAAGGGAGAGGGAGAGGGAGCGGAGGGGCAGGGAGGAAATGGAGAGGAAATGTAAGAGATAGAGGGAGAGAGACAGGAGGATAGGAAGAGGAACGGAGAAGCAGATGGATAAGGATAGGGACAAGAGGAGAGAGGGAGAGTTAGAGGACTTCAGAGAGAGAGAGAGAGAGAGAGAGAGAGAGAGAGAGAGAGAGAGAGAGAGAGAGAGAGAGAGAGAGAGAGAGAGAGAGAGAGAGAGAGAGAGAGAGAGACGAAACAGTGAAGAAAAAGTGCAGATAAGAGAGAAAAAAAGAAAAGAAAACAGTCTAACACAGGAAAAGGGAAATAAATAGAAGAGAAAGAAAAGATACAAAGAGAAGTACACATAAAAAAGAACGGCATGAGAAGGAAGAGATACGAAAAAGAAATGAAAAAATAATATTAGTAGCAGAAAAAACAACAACA